TTAAACTATAATAAGACAATATGATAAATTATGCTTAGTAATAACATTGAAAAGAAGTTGGTGTACTTGTTCGTTGTTGTGTTCCCTAAATGAGTAACTTTGCTAGTCCAAGTAGACACAAATCTTTCTTTATAAGGTGTCAACCATGTTTCATTCGCATACTTAACAAACAAAGGTATATCAGCACAAACAGTCTCAAAGTGCTTTAAGTGTGTGAGATACTCAGTTTCTCTATTAGCATACATGATGTTGTTCCATAGATCCATGACATGTTCATGTCTTTCAAATTTAACATACTCCTTACACTTCATGCTAACATTTTTGGTAATGTGGAACGAACATAACAAAAGTGTTGAATTTGGAAACACAACTTGAATTGCATTCATCAACACAAGTTCTTCGTCCATCACAACAACATTAGGTAGCAATTTCTCAGAAGAAAAGAACTCTTTGAGCTTCTGAAGTGCCCATGTGAATTTCTCCTCCCTATCATGTTGCAAATAGGAAAACTCTACAGAAAACGTCAACTTTGTTGACGTTACGCCAACAATCTCAAGCAGTGGTAACCGGTACCTGTATGTTCACGATTCAAATGATCAAAAATCTGATAATCAAAGTATGTCAAAATGGTATCAAGGTATGATCAAGATGCACATTACCTATTGGTCTTGCATGTACAATCAAAAATCAACACCAAGTGAAACATATTCAACAACTTCAATGAATCAAGATGTGTTCAAAAGATATCAGCAACAACATTTGAGTCTTCCCTATTTCTTGTCCAACACATGTACTTTTCTTTATGAATAAGAGTCAACAACATTTGCATTTTCGTCAATGAACCTCTCTTGCTCGCATTGTACGTAGCTCTAGCTTTATAACTTGGGTAACACTTGTAAGGTTTTATGGATCTTTGTCTTTCAAGCCAGAAACTATGTACCATGGAGTCATGTTGTACTTTGTTATTTCATCCACAAACTATCTCTCATGATCTTTTAGACGACCCAATATGTCATGACCATCTAAATCCTCAAATAGTTTATGATTGTGAAACTCACACCTAACCATCACCTTCCAACCAATACCACTTGGCGAAGATCTCAGCCTAAAAGGACATTTCACTTTCATACTATAAATGTCATATGAAGATTTGCTACTTTCAAATGTATTTTTCCTTTTATAATTTCCTCCTCTCTCACAATCCATAATCCATTTATCCTTCCTACCTCGCTGACCATTTGCAGTATCAGAACAAACACTCACAACTATAATACCATGTTGCTTGCCAATATGATGTGTCCAGGCTAATACTTTAGCTCGACTCTCAAATATAATATTAAATTTAACTTGTTACATAGAAAACATATTTTGTTTGTGGTAAAGAACTGTGTGCAATCGATACATGAATCCGTAGATGACCCTGCCGGTTTCGGACCGCACAAAGTAAGCATTTTTGAACTTCCAGTTCTGTGACCAGAAATTTCTATTGCCGTCGAAATTTTCGATATACCAAAAAATGTTGCTTGGTACCAGAAATTTTAAAATTTTTCGATAACAAATTTTCGGTAATGTATATCGGATTTTTGAAATTTCTGATATAAAAACAGAAATTTTCAGAATTTGCGTAACAATATGTAACGGAATTTTCCAACAACTATCGAAAATTTTGGAATCTTAGGTAGAAAAAGGTGAAAATTTTTAGAAAATCGATAAATTTTTTAGGTAAATAGTAACAGGGATATTTTTGAAATACTGAAAATATAAAGGGTGTCAGGTATGAAATAGGGGGGTGGCAGGTTAAATTCTCCAAGAATCATACAACCAAATTGATTCAATAGAAAACTGCTAACCAAATTGAACAAAATCGAAAACCACAAAAAATCACGTTTAGTTCAAATGTGTTTGGATCATTTTTTAATAGAATCGTGCGGTTAAATTTTATTTGCGATTTGCATTTTGTAAATCAACCCAAACCAAACAAAATCACATTATGTCACAAAATCTTCCAACCATTATATATTTATTTTAATTTACATATTAATAAAGAATTTAATTGAAATACACTCTCAATGTAAAAGAATTTTACACTGTCAGTTAGTCATAGCTATTAGATATTCAGAAGAGTTTGATTTTTATTTAAATCTCTTATAAAATAAGACAAATGAATGATGGTGATAAATCGACAATGTAAAACACTTATAGTGCATAATAATTAATCTCATTAATAAAAAACAAAACATTAATTATTTATAAATACTATCATTCTTACTTGAAATAAAATTATTTTATTTTTTATTTTTAATTTGTTGATGTTGATAAGAATGAGATTAAAAGAAAAAATTAATTTACAATACTTTTGTATTCATAAAAGGATAATAAATTGATAATAAAAAATAAATTATAGTGTTATCATATCTAGCTAGCATAATCACATGCATACACTTGCTTAAAACTACAATGTACTTTCTTCTTTGCACAATGAGTGACATGTTTAGAACAAACAAGTGTCCCAAAATAAATGACTCATTTTGATTGCCAATGCACATTTTTTCAATTCTAACCTCTAATTACTTTCATCGCTCTCAATACTTAATAAGAGATACTTTAATAAAAATATCATTCTCTCATTTTCTTTTCTTTTTTGTCTGTGTAAAATGGTCAACTGGGTCCCTCATTGTAGGACGGAGAGAGTAATTTTTAAATTTTATTTTAAAATATAATTTCATGTATATTGTCCTTTAAACATAAAGTAAAATTGTAAGACACAATTCATATCTATACGTTAGGTTATAAACTTAGTTTTACAATTATAAGTTTATTTCATAGTAATGTCACAAAATTATGTTGTACTTTATATACGTATATGTCGCTCAATAAATATTTTGTAAAAATCGAATCAACCAAACCAATCCACGCCACATTGGTTCGGTTTGATTTGGTTCGTTTTTATTTCTAAAAAACATTCTAACCATACCAAACCACACCTCTTGTAATTCAAATGACTTTTAGAATCAAAACTGCTCTAACCACACCACGAACACCCTTACACCTAACTCTCATTCATCTCCAGCTAAACATTGTTTTTATTTAATTCAATGAAATTTGTTTTCTTCTTCGATACCTCCACAAAAATAATTTTACATGAATTTAATTTTATAAATAAAATAATTGTAGGAGCCTTTAAGAAAAAAAATGAAGTATAAATTAGAAATACAGAAAGAACAACTTGTAATCAATTATATGATCCCAAATTTGTAACCTTCTGTCTAGGCCTCAAAATCCTATTAACATCCAGCTTTGACATTAACGGCAATATATCAGATTTTATGCAGCTGAATAATTAATACAGAAAGTAACAACAAAATATGTATCTGTGTATTAACAATTAAATTACTTGATTAATGCTAAGGGGTGGACTAAGTAAAACATATCAACATCTACCCTTTCTGTATTTACAATGCTTTCCAATAGTTTGGATTTTCATGCCTCTAGCTTGATTCCATAAAAGTAGAACAAAAAATGAGATAATTGGAATCAGTAAAAATTCAGTTAATAAACTGAGAATTATCAATTACAAGCTAATTGCTTAAATTTATAGAATATTATTTCCAATATTAAATATGGTAGTTAGGTTTCTTTTGCCTCTTCTAAACAAAAAATTATATAGCAGTTAAGGTTCCTCAACGTGACAGCACTCCTAACATATTTTGGAGATATTGCCTCCAACAACTTTCTTTTATATATTTAATTATATTAGAATAGTAAATCTATAATATATATCCGCAAATCCTACTTCTAACAGACAAAAAAACCAATATTACTATATATTAGACGTCATCATCAGAATTCGAATTTCGAACTCTGATATTCAGAGTTGTGTGTGAGTTGTTACATTGGACGTCATCATCAGAATTCGAACCTTGGCATTCTCGGTTGTGTGCTAAAAGTTATTATCACTTTGTCTACCGACACAGACCGACATAGAAGAATAGTAAATGTGTAACAATATATGTAAACAATTAGGTAGACAAAAAATTGAGGCAAATCTTTATAAAAGGATGCGCTAGGTTAAGATTAATTTGTGATGTAGTTTTCAGTCAGCTCATGCTCAACAGTTATGTTAGTGTTACAAGGATGTAAGGGGTTACTTGCTCTTTTGGGGGTATCATTGAGCCATTTTCCTACTTTCTTAATCCCTTGCTATCAAATTTTTATATATTATATTACCAATTTTGAAAAGGAAACACTAGATGCTTTAATTATGCTAACCATATAACATACAAAAAAAACAAGTCTAAGCTTTTGGTACGAAACCGCCATAAGTTTCTATATACAAAACTGTAGAGACTAATCCCTCAAGTCAGAGACTAATCTCGCGAGTAAGATAGAATTACAAAAATTATAAATTTATTTCAAAGATACCTCTCACTAGTTGCATCCATGAAATGAGAAGGAAGGAAGCAGAAGAAGACGAAGGACTGGTGTGTCCAATTATTTAAACCATATCAGTATTTTTATATACACAGATAATGAATCAACCACCACTAAAACAATAAGAATAATAAAGTTCAACATCAACAATAATAAGAATAATAATGTTTAACATCAACAATAAAACTATAAGAAAAAAAACATAATTAACAATGCACTTCTATGTACTAATTCAATCTCTAATAACTCGTCTTCCATCTTTTTCCTAGCTACCTCCTGCAGTTTCCAGGCCTAAAGTCAAACCCCATTTTTTAACTATTTTTTGTTCTTCTAAATTCTAACCTTCCAGCAAATTGAGCACTTTTGTAAAATGGTTTCAAATCCTTTCACAAAGGTATAACTTTTATACATGTTCATTATATTAGAGGATTGATCAAGTTTCCTTTGAAAAATCTCTAGGGGGTGAAATAGAACTCAGAAGAAATTTTATGGTACTATAGGGAAGATGAAGAGTTAGTTAGCATGGATTCGAGTTTGAGAACCCGTTGGGGTAACCTATCTTTCGGATTATGATGGAGCTACAAGTTATTTGGATAATAAGATTGGTTGTGGCGTGTGTTCTTTGTCTGTGTATATTTATCAGATCGGCTTCTTCTGCAACTGAAGGTTAGTAACTAAATATGATTATTTTATATCATAGTGTCGATTACTTGAAATGAATCTAACCTGTGCGGTTTCCTTGCAGGGTTTGAGAGCATAGCATGCTGTGCTGATTCAAATTACACAGATCCAAAAACCAACCTAAATTACACAACAGATTACAGGTGGTACTCTGACAAAAGTAGTTGCAGACAAATACCCAAAATTTTGTTAAGCCATAGAAGCAATGTAAACTTTCGACTGTTTGATATAGATGAAGGAAAGAGGTGTTACAATTTGCCAACAATTAAGGATCAAGTGTATCTGATAAGGGGAATATTTCCGTTTGATAGTGTGAATTCTTCGTTCTATGTTTCAATTGGGGCAACAGAACTAGGCGAAGTGACGTCGTCTAGGCTTGAGGATTTGGAAATTGAGGGAATTTTTAGAGCCCCCAAAGATAATATAGACTTCTGCTTATTGAAGGAGGATGTCAATCCCTTCATTTCTCAGCTTGAATTGAGGCCATTACCTGAAGAATACCTACATGATTTCTCTACCAATGTTTTAAAACTGATAAGCAGAAATAATCTTTGTGGCATAGAAGAAGACATCAGGTATGTCAATCCCTTCATTTCTCAATCCATTTTATTTGCACCTCGTAAGAATCACGATTTCTGCTTCGGATTGGATACCTTAAGCGGTTAATGGTGTAAACTGCAAACAGGGGATCTCAACCTAGTGTAGCCTTAGTTTTCTATTGAAGTGATTTGTGCTTAGTGTTTGGTACACAACTTTGTTTTGTTTCTCATAATATCAGTATCTATAAATTTTAGGTTCCCTGTTGACCAAAACGATAGAATCTGGAAAGAAACTTCAACTCCATTGAATGCTCTTCCACTGTCTTTCAATGTCAGTATTGTTGACCTCAACGGCAAAGTGACGCCTCCCCTAAAAGTCCTACAAACAGCTCTTACTCACCCTGAGCGATTGGAGTTCGTCCACAACGGCCTCGAGACCGAAGATTATGAATACTCTGTGTTACTCTACTTTCTGGAACTAAATAACACTCTCAAAGCAGGAGAAAGGGTGTTTGACATCTATCTAAACAGTGAGATTAAAAAGGAGAGTTTTGATGTATTGGAAGGAGGATCCAAATACAGTTACACTGTCTTGAACATTTCAGCAAATGGATCGCTCAATATAACCTTAGTCAAGGCATCTGGATCTAAGTTTGGACCCCTTTTGAATGCCTATGAGATCCTGCAGGCGCGACCATGGATTGATGAGACCGACCAAACAGATTGTAAGCGTTGTCACATTTAGCGGTCTTACACTCCATTTCCTTGTTCATCTATGCACTAAAATTGTCTTATTGATGAACTTTACTAGCCCTTAACCAATCTTCTATATCCTTCTCCCACTTACACAAACACTTAAATTTTCTTCAGTGGAAGTTATTCAGAAGATGAGAAAAGAGCTGCTGCTGCAAAACCAAGACAATGAAGCATTGGAGAGTTGGAGTGGAGATCCTTGTATGCTTTTTCCATGGAAAGGAGTAGCATGTGATAGTTCAAATGGTTCATCTGTCATCACTAAGCTGTAAGTCCTTCAACTTTTTAGGGCCTTTGTGGATTTGTTTATTTGAGTTTATCTACTGATATAAGCAATTTAAAGACTGTTTAGGAGAGCAGCTTCTGACATGTTTATAAGCTGTTTCCAGCTTATTTTCATAAGCTCTCCAGGATAGCTTATGAAAACAACTTATAGCTTATATGAAAATAATTTGACTTTATTTTATCTTTTTTTTATAGAAATAACTTGTACATAAGCACTTAAATGTTGAGCATTTATGCTATAAGCACTCAATTTAACTGTTTATCCAAACAGGGCTTAATGCATCCATATCTGTCTATGAGTTATTGCCCTATTTTCCCAAGGTGTGCAAAAATTAGACATTTTCCTTTATGATTTTTCCAGGGATCTTTCCTCCAGTAATCTCAAAGGAACAATTCCTTCCAGTGTCACTGAGATGACCAAATTACAAATACTGTACTGCTTCCAAATCTCTTCTCATTTAAAAGCTTCCACACTATTTTTGGTGGGAAACAGTAGAATGTTTCTATACATAATGTAATAACATTTTTGTTATGCGCAGGAACCTGAGCCACAACCATTTCGATGGTTATATCCCCTCGTTTCCACCGTCCTCCTTGTTGATATCAGTGTAAGTATCCCTTCTTGTGTTTAGTCAGGCCTAGGATGATATTGTATGAGCTTATAGAGTTTCTATTATCCTTGTAAATGTTAACATAAACAACCACATGCATGCTACAGAACTAAAACATGATAAAATAAGCTGCATATAGTTCAACTCCTACAATTTCTAGAAGTCCTTATCACAAAACTGCGACAAAACTTCAATGTTGCATAGCTCAACAAGCACTTACCTAAGATATTATGCAGATCGACATCAACAAATTGCATGACTAAATAAACAACTCAAGTTCCTAGCTTCTCTTCTTTCTCATTCTTGAACCGATAGCCGACAACAACGCATGAAAGTGTAGTGAGTGTGTTACATAGATTGAGGCCAAACATTTGAACATGTATCCTATTCACTACGACATCGTGTCAGGTAACATAAGGTAGACTCTAGACAGCCTTAATGCAACGAGAATCATCTAAAATATCTCTGTGCATCTTAATCCATTAAAGATTCTATGATTAAGGCCGTCCTCTACAACCCTTCAGTAGATGCAAAAACAAATCTGTGTGAATGTCCTTAAGAATAGTCCTTGAGAAATCTGTTTTGACATTATGTTGCATACATTGTTCAATTTCCTTCTGTTATCAGTGTCATTAAGAAACTGCCATGAATCTTTTTCAAACAATTGATTTACATTTATGAAACAGAGATCTGAGCTACAATGACTTAACGGGACAGCTTCCAGAATCCATTATCTCCCTGCCACATTTAAACTCATTGTAAGTTTTATATGTCGTCATTCTAGTTCTACTTCATCTATGTTAGGAAACTGTTTTCAATCGTTGTATATTTTAACTGTACTAAATTTATTCATCTTGTATTTGGTTTACTTCCAGATATTTCGGCTGCAATCAACACATGAGCAACGACGATGAAGCCAAATTGAACAGTTCACTAATCAATACAGAGTATGAAGTATTCTCGGATGCATAACTTTAGAAGTTTTTAAAATAAAACAACTCAATTTATTTGTTTCTGTTTTGACAGTTATGGGAGATGTAACGCAAAAAAACCCAAATTTGGACAAGTATTCATGATTGGAGCTATTACAAGTGGATCAATTTTGATTACTTTGGCTGTTGTAATTCTATTTTTTTGCCGTTATAGACACAAGTCAATTACTTTGGAAGGATTTGGTGGAAAGACCTACCCAATGGCAACAAGTAGGCATTTTATCTTCTATAATCCTTTGTATCCTATGTGTATCTTCATTCTAAAGTAACAAGAATATCAATTGAAAAAAGTAAACTTATGATCATGATAGATGATACTAGTTTCTGTAGAAGACAAATGCTATGATGGAAGTGGTGATTTTAGCATGTTTGGTTTGGTCTAATCTACATTACATTTATGACATTCTCCCTCAAAAACATGCAGATATAATTTTTTCCTTGCCAAGCAAAGATGATTTCTTCATTAAGTCTGTATCAGTTAAACCATTCACTTTGGAGTATATAGAGTTGGCAACAGAGAAGTACAAAACTTTGATAGGTGAAGGAGGATTTGGCTCTGTTTACCGGGGCACACTAGACGATGGTCAAGAAGTGGCAGTGAAAGTCCGGTCAGCCACATCAACTCAGGGAACCCGAGAATTTGACAATGAGGTATAATATGCATTATCAATTTACTAGATCAACAAAATTCCAACAAAATGTTCTTAACTAAAAATTTGGTCCTGTAGTAGCTACGGAAATATTTTGGTTCCTATCACACCATCTGATTAGTCTGATGAATCATGCAGCTAAACCTACTTTCAGCTATACAACATGAGAACCTGGTGCCTCTTCTTGGTTACTGTAATGAATATGATCAACAAATTCTTGTATATCCTTTCATGTCTAATGGCTCTTTGCTAGATAGACTATATGGTAAATATTTCACAAGTCTTTCAGTTGATATGTTTCGATACACAGTGATTCTGAAATTCAATTTGATGATAACAGGGGAACCAGCGAAGAGAAAGATACTAGACTGGCCAACTAGACTCTCTATTGCTCTAGGAGCAGCTCGAGGCAAGTAATATGATGATGTTTTATTTTTACTATGTTGTGCCTATGTACTAAGAAATAAGCTTACATCGTATCAAGATGAAGCGTATACAAAAACTAGATCTTACCAGAGGCATAGTCACTTAAATAAGAATATAAGAGGTGTCTATTTTGACTCTCATGAATCTACTTTGGCGTAAAGAAAAATTTCTTGGCATATGATGCATCCTAAAATTATTTATTCTTCACATGATAAACTCAGAGGCTGACCTAACTGACTTCACTACAAGTTTTATCTAAAACATATTGAGGACAATAAAATGTTGATGTGTTTTCTGATTGAGCAGGTTTGGCATATCTTCACACGTTTCCTGGACGATCTGTAATACACAGGGACGTAAAATCGAGCAATATACTACTGGACCATAGCATGTGTGCAAAGGTTGCAGATTTTGGTTTCTCAAAATACGCTCCTCAGGAAGGAGACAGTTATGTTTCCCTTGAAGTAAGAGGAACCGCAGGGTATCTGGATCCTGAGTAAGTGAACTTCTAAAATTTCTTAACATGAACTTTTCATATTGCTCTCTTCAATCACTTTGAGACAAAATATTATTACATTTTCCATCCAAAGGTTTGTTGGAACCATCAGAAAGAAAAGAAAATCACATCTGAAAATGACTGGACTCTGCTATTATTTACTGTGTTGTGTTCTGTGCTTGTTTCATGGAGGCACTGTCAATCATAGAGACTGAAGAAACATTTCTGATTATATTCTTACTATGAAGTGTACATTAATTTATAAACATACAAAAACTAAACTTCCAATATCAGTGACTATAAATTATAAGGGATGATCCATGTGAACTTAGATGAGATGAAGAAGAGTCAAACATTTCTATTCCTATTTGTTTTCTTAACATGAAGAAATTTCACAATAGCTGGCATTTATCCCTATGCAGGTACTACAAAACCCAGCAATTATCTGAAAAGAGTGATGTTTTCAGCTTTGGTGTGGTTCTACTAGAAATTGTAAGTGGCCGGGAACCTCTCAACATAAAGAGACCACGAGTCGAGTGGAGCTTGGTTGAATGGGTATGATCCATGTCCCCGGATTTTTATTAATTTCATCTTCAATCCTAAATGGTGATTATATTTAGTAGGCACTAACATATAAATTTGCATGCAGGCTAAACCATACATAAGAGCGTCAAAGGTGGATGAAATTGTAGATCCTGGCATCAAGGGAGGATATCATGCAGAGGCACTGTGGAGAGTGGTGGAAGTAGCACTGCAATGTCTTGAACCCTACTCAACATATAGGCCATGCATGGTTGATATTGTCCGCGAGTTGGAAGATGCTCTCATAATCGAAAACAATGCATCTGAATACATGAAATCAATCGACAGTCTCGGAGGATCCAACCGCTACTCAATTGTCATGGACAAAAGGGCGCTTCCTTCAACTACAACTACAGCAGAATTAACCATCACAGCTCAAAATGTGTCACACCCTCAACCGAGATAGTAATGGATCAATGGAATTCTTTTGATTTGTTTTTTATTATTGCTTTAGTAATATCACATTCTAAATGTTAAAGGAGAAAAATACTACTTCTGATTGTACTTTTATCCATTGTATGCTTCTTGAAAATGAATCTCTCTTGCTCAGCCCCAATTTTTTATGGGTGAAAAGAATATTCTAGGTCTAGTGCAAGTGAAACCATATGGTGCATAATTTAGAAGCCATGTCATTTGCTAAGTTCAAACTTAACTAGTAAAAGTTTCCCAAACAAGCTGGATTATGATTTAAACTAAGACAGTTAGGCAATCCAATGAACAAAGTCATATACACTTTGGTTGGACAAGCGACAAATCCGGTCAAGCAAACGAAAACATATATATGGGAAATACTTTTAGACCTATTTTGGTTTTAGAAAAATAAATATTTCCCTTTTTTTACTACGAAGGATTCCTGTTATTTTCACTTTGGTTTAAGCATGGCTCTAAATTACGGTTGCAGTCAAGCCACGAAACTTGATATTGCAGAAAAATGTGGTCGCAATTGCCATTGCGCACATTTAGATCAAGTGATTGTTTCTTAGGTGGCCTTCATCAAACTCCGTCTCTTTACTAATTGAAGTTTTGGATTACACTACTCTCAAATGGCAATAAGGAAACATAAATTGCCATGTTTTTAGATACACTTTCGTAGAAAATATTTAGCAAAAAAAAAAAATTTTGAAACCATTAATCCTTTTTTCTTAAAATATGTTCCCAAAATGTCCATTTCTCCGTTGTATAGAGCAAGATTGACTATTTATTAGAGTAAAATTTTCAATTGGCTTGAAAAGTATACCAAGATTTGAATAAACATTCTAGTATTGGATTGGATGGGAGTGGGACCATGCAGAGCGACAAGAAATTATGAGTGATGCTTGATTCAGCCAAAGGTTTTTCTCTATTAAATTGTGTCTATCGTTTCAGATAAAGTAAAAAAATAAAAAAAATAAATAGTAAATATTATCTATCCACATCTGAATTTGACAAACAATTCATACACTCTTGGTACTCATTTCTTCAACCTCTTCTCCCTTAAATACGCTGCTTATTTTGAGAGAGAAAACAACAAGTTAAAGACAATACAGAAGGAAAGACTGGAGGTCACATAAGAAATCGTAACTGACTAGAACGCAAGCTTGAACTCTGCAGGTACAGTAAAGTGGCAATATAGTTTTTCCCCTCAGAAAAACTTGACCTACACAACCATATTGAACAACTGATTATTGAGATTAATTTATTTTTTTCCATTAAGTATTTTGCAATTCCATGATTGGGGGGTTGCAGTCAATCTAACTTTTGATGTTAAAGTACTCTACATTATAAACTACGGTGTTTCTTCCTTGTTGAATCGGTTCCTTAAACACACTCAGATAAGGAGAATGAGAACTTGAACAAGCTAAAAAGAGGGAGAAAGAAGATTATGGTAACGTGTGGTAAACAAGTTAGACCAATAGGAACATTGCATGTAGTTTGTTATATGCCAGTCAAATGAGATTAAGTAGAGAATCTATGCAACAGAAGATAGTTGATATGGAATCGGGTATTATAGAGACTAGAGTGCTTGGTTCTGATCTCACAGTATCAAAATTTGTGATTGGCATCTCAAAACAGGCCACCTATGAAGGGGATGACTAGAAAAAAGGCCGGGTTAAATGTCGTATAGTGCAGTAGCCAAACCCAATGTAAAGTTCTTAAAAATTTGCACTTCTCGAGAGATGAGTTTTTAATTCTTACTACACAAAGTTAAGAACTCTACATTTATTCTATCATTGGAGATGCAATTACTCACCATTAATATGAAAGAATGTCAAATTCATGAGTGGGGATAAAGTATATATCATCAAATTAGTGTGTTATCTACTATGATCGATTTCATCCAAATAAAGAAATCCAGAATTTACACATCGATATTCCTTTTTCCATATAAAAAGGAAGGCACCAAAGGTGTACTACAACTTTCATCCATTGATGCATTCTTGCCTCAAGTGATTGATTCAGACATATTAGTATGTCCCAAATGAAACGAAGGTGGCACAAGAATCGAGAGTATGTACGCTAACAACATACGGCTTATCCATGTACCATGAAAACACAAGGATGCATTTGAAAGGGACCAAAGTCTAATTTGGATGAACCTCGACCTTAGGAAAACTTCCCAATTAAATAAATTTATACTTCTTTTACCGATAAAAAAGTACTTATAAGCTTATAGATATTTATGAGGAAGTTAAACAAGAGAACTTAAGAAGAGATCTAGAAGGTAATTTTGACTACTTCAAAACTCATAACTATTGCAAGATTCTGTCCATAAGTGCTTTAAGAGATTTTTACTAGAATTAGCTCTAAGTTGAAAAGCACTATTACATGATAAAAATATAATAGTAATTGCAACAATCGCATTTATGAAACACAAGGTTAACAACCCACATAATAATAACCCAAAAAATTGCAAATCAAGAACTACAATTAACCAAACAAAGCACAATTGCACTAATCAAACACATAAACTTTCGATTTAGAACACTCCATTCAGATTATACATTATACAGGTATGGTAGAGAGATCTTACTAGAAAGCTGAATTACATGATTCATTATACACATCAAGTTGCAAAAAGAGAAGGGTTTGCCGAAGCATTTCCAACTTGAACTTCAAGTAATTCCAAACGCCGCTCCAATACATCAAGTTTCTCATTCAATGATGCTAACTTACTCTTTGTTGTAGCCTCTGAAACAACAACCCCATCAAAAACAGAGATAAAATTTCAATTAACAACCAAAATGGGTCAAAGAAAAACACAAACTTGAAATGATTTAGATGTTTTAAGTGTAGATTTACCGAATTGAACAAGGAAATCGAAGAGACGGCGAACATTGAGGGAAATGTGAGAGATGAATTCACGATTTTCCCAATCTGCTTGAACTGCGATTCCGACGTTTACTGCGTTTGTTATTCCTCCTGCACGTGCCATCTCTTTGTTGTTTGAGTTCAGATCCAATGCAGATTTTGATTGAACTGGTTTTTTCCTTTTTCTCTTTCACTTTCAACTTTCAATGCTAGTTTACTTTTGAGGACTTTTTTTGAACTTTGTTTAACTTTTGATTTTTAATTAGAGCTTTTTTATTGTTAAATGTCTTAAAAGAAGTTAATTAATTAAGATTACTATCTTGACAAAGTTTAATTAACTAAGCATAGTGAAAAAAATCCACTAAAAAAGCATAGTGAAAAAATCCATTAAAGAAAAGCATAGTGGGAGTTACTATAAAGTTAGGTGTGAAATACTAAATTTACTTGCACCGTCACATCAAACGTAAATAAAAAGCTAAAAATGGAGGAAATGAGACATGTGGGATAATGGAAATCTATTAGTAATATAAGAAACAAATCATGATTGTTATCTAAATTTTCATTACTTAAAAATTGACACACTCCTTTTTTTAAGGTAAAATTTGCCTATGCACACAATTATTACATTAAATATTATTAGGGTCATTAAGAAATTGAAATAGATTTTTATATATGTTGGATAAAGATTCAGGGCAATAAAAATATAAAAGGAGAATAAAATTGATTATTTCGAATAAATTAATTTACTCTAAAGTATTGAGGGAATCTCTTATTCACTATCTTTTTAAATTGTTACAAAAAATTATAAGACGAGTTTAAAAAAAATAGACTTTAAAGTTTTGAAGAACAACACGTGTATTTTACTCAAGTGATTTACAATCTTTACAACTTTCAATGTATGAATTACACAAACCTAAAGTGTTTCTCAAACCAATTTGATAATTTTAAATGCAATTGAGCTCCAAGAATAAAATTTTAAGAATTTCTACCATTTTATTAGATATGTAAATATAGAAAGATTATTATTAGTATTGATTACAAATGATTATTAGAATCATAACCACATAATTGTATTGTGTATATAAATAACTAACAAATCAATGAAAAGGCACGGCCTAAATTCTCTTACATGGCATCACAATTGATTTGTTCCCAAACCTTAAAACCAGCTGTCAACTTTCTTTCTTCCTATCTTTCATTTTTTTCTCTTCAACCACTACAAAACAGCAATGACTACCACTACTGATTCCTACAACAACAACTCTTCCTCGCACTCCATCAGTCATACCGACTCTCCTCCTCCACCTCTCACTCCTACGCCGACTCACCTTGCTCTCACTGTCCCAAATATTACTAATTTCATTAAGATTACTCTGAGCATTGAAAAGGACACGTATAACACGTGGTCAGAACTTTTCAAAATTCATGCTCGAGTTTTTCAAGTGATTAACCATATCATTCCATTTGAACCAATCGCAGATCCCTCTCTTAAAAATATCGATCCACATTTATGGCTTCTTCTCGACGTCGTCGTTTTACAGTGGATATATGGAACAATCTCTGATGACCTTCTCAACCCTATCATCGAACATAATTCCATCGCTGAAATCGCGTGGAATCGCTTATTCGACATCTTTTATGATAACAAGAATTTTGGGGCTCTCTATCTAGAGCAAGAATTTTTGTGAACTCATATGAAGCAATTCTCTGATGCTTCATTCTACTGTCAGCATCTCAAGTCTCTCTCTGATCAACTAGCTAATGTTGGTACCCCTGTATCAAATTAACGTTTAGTTCTTCAACTCATTTCAGGACTAATTGATGCATATGTGTCATACCCCAAATTTGTCCTACTTCGGTATTTAATGGATGTTTGACTGTTTCACGACTTCTGGCTATGACTATCTGAGACTTCGTTTATAAAGACCATGTGTGTACACATTGTGGTTGTAATCCCCAGCAATTTATGACGAAGAACGTATCCCCAACCTTTATATCCAAATTCATATGTGTCCTCGTTATCACGATCAGATATATATGATAGGGACAATGGCATAAAATGCATGATTGTTGGTTTTCAAAAAATTTGAACCCTATTTCAACTGGATTACAAACTTCTCTAAAGGTTGTTTAAGCTTCACTGCAAATTGCCCGTTACGATATGCACTTAATTCAAGTTGTTCAATGGTACTTTTCATGATGCTTTTAGACACGGTTGATTCGGCCTCAAGCTTTGTTCGAATTATTTGTAAGCGTCAAGCTATGTTTGGATTCTAAATCGGTTTGTGACGAACTTGGATTTAGCTTGCAAATTTTAAGTCTTAATGGAATTAGAAAATTAATTTGTGACAAACTTAATGGATGATTTTGGGTTTAAAGAGTTATGATGAATTCATGCTTAAGGTATATGTTCAATTTGTAATGGAAGGATGGAATGATAAAATGTGGATTGAGCTGCAGGTATGCTACATGAGGACGTGATCATGAATATCATTTCAATGTCTTTAAATCCAAAGCATTCGTTTAAAGCTATAAATGGTACTAGCTTTGGAAGCTCAAGTCATCACCCGCGAATACTCAAGTGTGCTGAAATCCAACTCATACCAAGGAAAATACTTGTTTGATAAGATAATTTTAGGAAAATAATTTCAGGGAAAAGAAGATTGCTCATTAAATTCTAAAATATTTGTGTTCTACAAGGACACATTGTGATTTAAAGAGTACATTTCAATAAACGTTTACTGAGTTCCAAAATGAGAAATTACAACAAGTTGGATTCAAGGCTACAGAACTGAAAATGAAAAAAATCATGCGACAGTACATCCAAACTCTTTCGCCTCTTATGCTCCAGCTAGAAGCTTCACGTCTCAAGATCTCCCTACTGCTCCAAAAATATCCCTAGATGTTATTTTGGTGTTAGGACACAAATTCCAAATATCATGTTTGTAATTGAGATGGATGGTGCAGCAAAGGAAGGTCACAATCAAGGATAACCATGGTTACTGGTGAAGTCCAAGTTATTGCATCCATTGGAAATGATCCACATCAAGCTGAAGCTTATTTTTAAAGTTGCATCTTGGTTTCAAAGTTGTAACCGATAATAGTAAACCTGCACAAACCATAACAGCGGGATTAATATAACAAAAATGCAACCAATATCACTTGATGTATCACATGACGCAAGTTTGAAACCTGCACCTCAAAAAGCTTCCTAAGTTGGTTTCTCAAACCGCAATTACCGGTTGCTGTTAAGTTTGAAGTTCATCCGGTGAATCAGCACGCGGCTCGTGAAGTCATTATGCAGGAATTACTTGCGGTTTTGCTCAAAAAGCCAAACAAACAACGGTGTTGAATTAGACGTTGGTTCTACCACAGCATGTGTTGCGCTTTGATTGAAGAAAATTATGAAGGTATTATATTTGTTCCACCCTGCATCAAATAAAAGAAATACCTGCAAGGAAAAACCAGATACAGCAGCCCACGATTCAAGGGAATAGTCATTTTGTACCTCTACGCAAATGGATGCAGAGAACTGGTTATGATAAATGCACGTGTACTTACGCATAATTGTTGTTGTTTCGGATGCAAAGAGTTATGTTATGTTCATTGTGTTACTCCATGACAGCATCAACCAAGCCTTCATTTACCAAGTCGTTGCCTAACACTCCGAACGGATTCACCGAGTTCCTTCCGAGTCTTCATGCTCACAAAGTTTCTTCAAGTCCTCATACTGTCAAAACGAGCTACTCTGCACCAACCTAAAGATATCATGCCAGCAATGTACCCTGAAAAATAAACATACAAGGAGGTTAAGAGCTTAAACTATTGCAAGGAATTAATTCTAGACGGAAGCAATGTGAAAAGGTTGCCTGAAAGCATCAGGAATCTTCAAGAGCTAGAAGTTCTGTCATTGAAGGATTGCAGGAAGATTCAGTACCTTCCAGAGCTCCCCCCTCTCATCAAATTGTTAAATGCCGGTAACTGCACGTCCCTGGTTTCAGTTTCAGATTTAAAAACTATTGCAACAAAGATGATGGGAAATGCCAAATACATTTCATTCATGAACAACCTGGATTTGGACGGACATTCACTCAGACATTTAATGGAAAGTCTCAATTTAACAATGATGAGCGCTGCATTTCAAAATGTGTCTGTTAGAAGACTTCGTGTGGCTGTTCACAGCAACAACTATACCAGTGTTGATGCTTGTCTACCGGGAAGAAGGGTCCCAAGTCAGTTCAAATATCAAACTACTACCAAGTCCTTCATTACCATTGAACTTCCTGACCATTCGAACTTACTGGGATTTCTTTACTCAGTGGTTCTTTCTCCAGGAGGTGGAATGAAGAAGGGTGGAGGAGCTATAATAAAATATCAATGCGATTTGGGAGAAGAAGGTACAAAGGTTACAAGGTTTAATACTGATGTCACAGAACTGGACTCGGGTCATGTTTATGTATGGTACGATCCATTCCATTGTGACAGCATTCTCAAATTTTATGAACCAAAGCTTTGTTTTGAGTTTTGTGTTACTAATGGTATGGAGGAAGTTGATGGTTCAATCTGTATTAAAGAGTGTGGGGTACGACCCGTATGCGTTGATGAACTGCAGAGTGTTTTACAGCAGTTGGATTTGGATTCAGAAAAGAAAAACGAGTTGAAGAAGGCAGTGGAATTAAAACCAAGACTTGTCATGATACACCAGGATGACCAACATCCTGTACCTCAAACTTCACTCTCCACCTTGTGTTCCTTCCACTTCATCATCAAGCTACCCACAGAACTTCATTCCCAACCTCCAAATCTCAGTCCAGAAAACCGTGAAATCCCACCGACAAACCTCGCGTGAAGAAACCTGTAGCAGAACCACACTCATCCTCAAACTATTCTCTCTGCAAAACCTGTTCATATTTTCAAAACTCAGACCTCTCATTCCAAAACCACTCGCTACTACTTCCTTTTCTCCTAACAACAACATTTCAAATACTACTCCTTCCTTAAACCGCATTCACGGCACCAATGATTTCTTTACACAATATCACAATCTTCACCAAGTTGGAGATCAAAGCAAGAGATCGGAGATGAATAACACGGCTGCAGCTGCAGTTGTGGTGATTTCGAGAT